GCAGCTGGAGAGGAAGGTGGAGAGGCAGATGGAGAGGCAGCTGGAGAGGAAGGTGGAGAGGCAGCTGGAGAGGCCGCTGGAGAGGCAGCTGGAGAGGCAGCTGGAGAGGAAGGTGGAGAGGAAGGTGGAGAGGCAGCTGGAGAGGCAGCTGGAGAGGCAGCTGGAGAGGTAGCTGGAGAGGAAGCTGCAGAGGCAGTTGGAGAGGCAGCTGGAGAGGCAGCTGGAGAGGCAGCTGGAGAGGCAGCTGGAGAGGAAGCTGCAGAGGCAGTTGGAGAGGCAGCTGGAGAGGCAGCTGGAGAGGCAGCTGGAGAGGCAGTTGGAGAGGCAGCTGGAGAGGCAGCTGGAGAGGCAGTTGGAGAGGCAGTTGGAGAGGCAGCTGGAGAGGCAGCTGGAGAGGAAGCTGCAGAGGAAGAAGGCTGTGCTGTATCGACACATGCAAGTCCCCGAAGCTGTTTCAATCAGGTCTCTGCTGAGGGGAACAGGCGGCTGTGAAGCTCTGCTGAGACGGTTTCCTTCTCTTCCAGTGGGACCTGGTATGTGAAGCTGAGACGCTGAAATCAATGGCCAAGTTCTCGTTCATGGCGGGCATGCTGGTGGGAGGGGCCATCTACGGCCACTTATCAGACAGGTGAGTGTCCCTAGTCACAGCCCCTTGACTCGGGGGCATCTCCACGCATCACTCTCCCGTGAGAAGCACGTATGACAGGTTACGCCGTCCTGTGGCTTTCTGGGCCCCGCACATGAGCTCTTGATACATTTTGGATGTGAACCCTTATCAGATGTATTATTGGCAAATATGTCCTCCCATTCAGTAGGCTGTCTTTTCATTTTGTTGATGGTTTCCTCTGCAAAAAGCTTTTTAGTTTGATGGAGTCTCATTTGTTTATTTTTCCTTTTGTTTCCCTCGCCGGAGGAGATATATCAGACACAGTATTACTTACAAGGAATGTCTGAGATTTCACTGCCTATGTCTTCTCCTGGGAGTTTTATAGTTTCGAGTCTTACATTTAAGTCTAATCTGTTTTGAGTTTATTCTTGTATATGGTGTACGATGGTGGTCTAGTTTCATTTTTTTGCATGGATCTGTCCAATTTTCCCAGCACCATTTATTGAATAGACTGTCTTTACTCCATTGTACATTCTTGCCTCCTTTGTAAAATATTAATTGACCGTATAGGCGTGGGTTTATTTCTGGGCTCTCTATTCTGTTCCATTGTCCTAGATGTCTGTTTTCATGCTAGTCCATGCTGTTTTGATTGCGATGGCCTTGTAGTATAGTTTGATGTCAGGTAGCGTGATTCTTCCAACTTTGTTCTTCTTTCTCCATTTAATATTTTTGGATTGTGGTTGACCGTGGGTGACTGAAACCACGCAAAGCAAAACCTGGGCTAAAAGAGGACTATGGTGTTGCAGCTGTCTTACAAGGTTTCATTGATCTCAAAGTTCCACTGGCAACAGATGGGAGAATCCGCTTTCCTATACTCAGTATCTATTTGCAAACAGGAGGGCTGCTTCTGAGATAATCTACTAGTATTGTTGATTCTTCCTGGTTTCAAGTGCAAAGTTTCACTTACTGAAACATCGCTTAAGCATCAGAAGAAGCCTTCTTTGTGATGATTTTTGTGACATGTTATCATGCCCACATCTAACCTGTCCCTGTGCCTCAGGTTTGGGAGGAGGCCGATTCTCCGATGGTGCTCCCTCGCGCTCGCTATCTCCGAGACCTGCGCGGCCTTTGTGCCCCTGCTCCTCGCTTACTGCGCGCTGCGCTTCTTGGCCGGCTTCTCCACCATGGGCATCCTCAACAACAGCTCTGTGCTCAGTGAGTACAAACGTTGGGGGTCTTTGACATTTTTCAAGCCCTACTTTTGACTCTGGAATTGTAGGGAGCCGCTCTAGGGTCAAGCCTTGGGCTGACCTGGGGCAGGGCCACAAACAAGTCCCAGCCTGGAGGGCAGAGCTCTCCTAGCATAATTAAGCCTGACCTTGTAGCCCTCCCTAATTCCTTCCTAAGTAGTTCATGGGCTGTGGGAGGTGCAGCAAGTGTTGCCAAAACAAGAACATTTGTATACAAGTTAATCTACCCTTGTTTTAATCAGACTATAAAATAAAGCATTGGCTTGCAGGCTGGGTCTTTCGTGTCCTCATCCAGGCACGGGAGATCCACCAAGCCCCAGCTGTATTCTCTTGTCTGTCTTTTCTTCAATCCTTCACCTCCTCTCCTCAGGTTCACCCTTCGCCGTGCTGGCCCAGCACATGGAATCCAAACTTTGTTTGAAGTCAAAACCCTGTTTGTGTTTCCTTTCAGTTGTAGAGTGGACCACGCCCCGGTTCCAAGCCCTGGGGATGACCACGACCATCGGTGCTGCTTGCGTGGGGCAGTTGCTTCTGGGAGGAATGGCCTTCGCCATCCGCGACTGGCACACCCTCCAGCTGGTGTACTCTCTACCGCTATTTGTCTTTTTTCTTTCCTCGAGGTATCAGTTGTCTCTCTTCCTTTGTCTTAAGGACCCTGGGGTGCGAGCTCACAGAATAAGGACACAGAACGCAGCCAGGTCCTTAGTCAACACTCGAGCATGTGCTCTCCTGATCTGTGCCTTGTGCACAATTGGGGGGCAGGACAGGCAGGGTTGCCAGGTAAACCAAGGACACTCAGTTAAATTTGAATTTCAAAAAGAAAAAAAAAAGTGAATTTCAGATAAGCAACATCCCTTTTTGTATAACATCCCAAACGTTGCATGGTGTACGCTGACCCTAAACATGATGCATTGTTTATATATACTTTCTGTTTATCTGAGAGGTCTGCATTTTCGTTTCC